TCGTTTCTGCCTACGCTCCCACTGACTGCAGCTCAGATGAAGTGAAAGATGAATTTTACAGAAAGCTATCCGAACTTCTTCAGAAAGCTAAACGCTCAGACATAGTACTCGTAGCAGGTGATTTTAATGCTCAGATAGGCAGTTTAAACCAAACAGAAAGGCATTTAGGTGGATATTTTAGTATTCCGACACAGCGAACAGATAATGGTGATCGTCTGCTGCAGCTATGCTCAGACAATCGTTTATTTTTAGCAAACACAAATTTTAAGCATAAGGAGAGACATCGTCTAACATGGCGACCCCCTACACCAAACCAACGATGGACTCAAATAGACCATATTGCCATCAGTCATCGTTGGAGAGGGTCGGTAGAAGATTGTCGTTCATTCTGGAGCACCTGCTTGGACTCCGACCATGCCCTAATACGGGCACGCATCTGCTTGCGCCTCAATGGACGCAAAAAAGCCACATTAAAAAGACCCATTAGAACTGAGTTGAGTAACGAGAAAACCAAAAGTAGGTTCCAGGAACAACTGAGGTCACACTTAGTTAGTTGTGAAGACGAGGCTGACCCAGATGTTGCTTGGAAGGACATACAAGCAGCTGTGGAAACAGCAGTGACATCTGTTAGTGACTTAAACCACAGAGTTACAAGGAACCAGTGGATTTCTTCAAGGTCTGTCACACTGATGGATTCTCGCAAACTCGTCCCATCAGGTTCTGAACATGATGAAGAGCGTAAACAAATCAGATCTAGGTTAAGAAAAAGTCTAAGGAACGACCGTGAGCAGTGGTGGGTAACGAAAGCAAAAGAGATGGAAAAGGCGGCGACTATAGGGAACACAAGACAGCTTTACAGACTAATAAAAGAAACTGGAACTAATAAGTCAAGTGTAAGTGAGATTATTTCGGAAAAAGATGATACTCTCATCTGCTCCCAGTCCAGACGTTTAGAACGATGGGCGGAACATTTTAGAGAACAGTTCAGCTGGCCTTCAGCTACTCTACAACTACCCTCCATTCCCAGACAAAGTGAATGGAACATTGAAGTAGGTCCCCCAACTCTTGCTGAAGTTGAGAAGGCTATAGTTAATCTGAAACGAGGAAGGGCAGCTGGTCCAGATGGACTGGCTCCAGAAGTCTTTAAGGATGGTGGTCCAATTTTAGCGACTAGGTTGACTAATATTTTAGCTAAAATCTGGGAGTTAGACGTTATCCCATCTGACTGGTCGCAATCACTTATCGTCCCAATATATAAGAAAGGGTCAAAATCATCCTGTGACAACCACAGAGGGATTAGTTTAACAAACATAGTATCTAAAATACTGGCCTCGATAATTATCAAACGCCTAACTAAGACTCGTGAACTACAAACACGAGAGAACCAAGCTGGCTTTAGACCTGGTCGTGGCTGCATCGACCACATATTCACCATTCGTCAGGTTCTAGAACACAGGCATACCTATCGGCGTCCGACGATGGTGGTCTTTCTTGACTTAAAAGCAGCATTTGACTCTGTAGACCGCGAGACTCTGTGGCAGTGTCTGTCATTGAAAGGCGTACCTCAGAAGTACATAAACCTTGTGAAGGCTCTTTACTCGAACACTACTAGTCGAGTCAGGGCTTATGGCGAACTGTCATCTACCTTTACAACCTCAAGTGGTGTCCGTCAAGGCTGCCCACTTTCTCCATTTTTGTTTAACTTCATCATAGACCTATTGATGGAAATAACACTCTCGTCGACTGAATTCTCGGGTATTGATCTCCTTCCAGGAGGTCCACTTATCGACTTAGAATATGCAGATGACATAGTCCTGTTTGGTGAAGACGCTGACAAAATGCAGAGTCTTCTGGTAGCACTAAGCAACAATGCCAGAATGTTTGGGATGCGCTTCTCTCCCTCTAAATGCAAGTTGTTGCTTCAGGACTGGTCTGCGTCAACACCTGAACTAAGGATAGGGAGTGAAGTAGTCGAACGTGTTGACAACTTCACTTATCTTGGAAGTCTGATCAGCCCTAATGGGTTGGTGTCTGACGAAATCTCAGCACGGATTCGTAAAGCTCGTTTGGCTTTTGCCAACTTACGTCACCTTTGGCGGAGGCGAGATATCCGTCTATCAATAAAAGGACGAGTATACTGCGCGGCTGTCCGTTCTGTTTTAATTTACGGCAGCGAAACATGGCCCTTAAGAGTAGAAGACACCCGTAAGCTACTAGTATTTGACCACAGATGCCTTAGAAATATTGCTGGCATCTGCTGGGATCACCGGGTAAGTAATAGTGAGGTTAGACGCAGGGTATTAGGGAATGATGGTAAATCAGTTGATGAGGTTATGAATCTTCATCGACTGAGATGGTTGGGCCACGTATTACGTATGCCTGAACACCGATTACCGCGACGTGCAATGCTAACCGGTGTAGGGGATGGTTGGAAGAAAGTTAGGGGCGGCCAAACCAAAACGTGGCATCAGTGCCTGAAGTCACTAACTTCTAGTCTGAGCCATGTTGGTAGATGCAGACTACTTGGTTGGGGTCCGCGTGACTTTCGTAACCAATGGTTGGAGACCCTTGGTGACATGGCTCAGAATCGATCACAATGGCGTCGGTGTATACACTCTCTGTCTTCTCTTAAACTAAGAGATTAAGATCACTTCACATCTTTCTTTCTACGAACTAATTCTTTCTTCCTATACTATATCCTTATTGCAATCTTTCTCCTATATATTACCACCTTTGACCTAACCACTCCTATGAATCCAGTGTTCATCTTGCTGTGCTAATGAGGTATGGCAACCTGGGCCGATGCATACATGTGCCTGGTCCTACGTTGTAGCTGACTGACTGACTGACAATAAGATTTGAGATAAGGAACAAGTACCAAAAGACTGGAAAGAAGGACACCTCACAAAGAAACCAAAGAAAGACGATCTCAGCAAGTGTGAGAACTACAGAGGCATCACTCTTCTCTCAATACCAAGAAAATGTCTTCAACAATGTGTTGTTAAACAGAATGAAGGACTCCATAGACACCCAACTTTGGGAACAACAGGAGTGCTTGAGAAGATATTCAATATCTTACGGAGCTCCTATGATGGATTACACTGCAAAATCACACATAGAGGACAGCTGACACACTCGTTCGAAGTAAAGACCGGTGTCAGGCAAGGTTGCTCACCCCCACCCTTTCTCTTTCTCCTGGTGATTGACTGGAATATGAAGACATCAACATCTGGAGGGAAGCATGGGATACATTGGACAGCTAGGATGCAGTTGGACGATCTAGACTTCGCAGATGATCTGGCTCTTCTATCACACACGCAACAACTAGTTCAGGAAAAGATGACGGGTGTAGCACCAGCCACAGAAGCAGTAGGTCTCAACATACACAAAGGGAAAAGTAGGATTCTCCGATACAACAAAACATGCAACAATCGAATCACACTTGACGGGGAAGCTTTGGAAGATGTAAAATGCTTTACATATCTGGGCAGCATCATTGATGAACACGTTGGATCTGATGCAGATGTGAAGGTGCGGATCGATAAAGCAGGAGCAGCCTATTTACAACTTGAAGGACATGTGGAACTCAAAAAAACTGTCGACCAACACCAAGGTCAGAATTTTCAATACAAATGTCAAGACAGTTCTACTGTATGGGATGGAAACCTGGAGAACTACGAAAGCCATGATCCAGAAGATACAAGTGTTTATTAACATTTGTCTACGCAAACACTATAAGCAATCACCTACTGTGGAAGAGAAGAAACCAGAACCCAGTGGAGGGAGAATTCACGAAAGAGCACTGAAATTGGATAGGACACACATTGAGGAAAGCACCCAACTGCATCACAAGGCAATTACTCACTTGGAATCCTGAAGTTCAAAGGAGAGAACAAAGATCAAAGAACACATTACGCTGGGAAATGGATATAGACATGAGAAGAATGAACAACAATTTGATAGAACTAGAAAGGAATTCCCAGGACATAGTGGGTTGAAGAACGCAAATCGCTGTCCTATGCTCCATCGGGAGTAACAGGCGTAAGTAGGTAAGTAAATAATTATTTATGAAAGTACGTTTGAAATAATCTTAGCGATTGATACTCATATCATTTTAACATTTCATCTAACAAATATGCCTGGACTTCTTCAAAGTAAATAACCTAAATCAAATTTATCAATAAATTTATGACATTTAACAATCAAATGAAATCTAAATTCAATAATTTTCCAATCACATTCAAACGTTGACTTTACTAAATAGAATAAGTTTTGGATCATGTGAAGAATATACTATGTGAATTACAATTGCTGAGATTGTTTCAAATAAAGTTCTCATAAATAATGATCAGTTTAAGATTTGTAAACTAGACAAAAAAAAACAACTAATTGATAAATATTATGCCAATTGTCATGATCAATAAAAGTAATAACAATGTATTATGATTTTATTCTGAAAATTCTGGATCTATAATATTTTACAATGAATTTCATTAAATAAATATTTATGCTTCAGTGAATTTTTGCATTATTATTATTATTAATCAAAAGGGGTTTTGTGAAGATTTTAGAAATTTCACTGGTTGAAATCATGAGTCAATTGAAGCTAGACTACCATGAAAAATCTGGAAGCACTGGACGGCCGCTTTGTTCTAGAATGGGACTCCTCTACGATCCCAAAAGCGCGAGATTCGAACCCAAGACTTATTAGTAAGTTGATTTTGTCTTGATCATCTGAAGTTTTGATAGTACTGAGTTCTAGCCTAACTGGAAGATTTTTGGATGCATAGAATTAATTAATTCTACTTTGAAACAATTTAATGATTCTATAGCTATAGTTTATTGTTTCTAAGGTTTAATAATTTCTTTTTGATGTTGAATGAAACATATCGATTATTTATCAAATTTCAAACAATTTATTGTTGTTTTTATTACCTTAACTTGATCTAGATCAATATTAATCATCTATTCAAGTAAAATTCATTATATTATTTACTTACGTTCATTCAGTATTAAATATTCACCAGTCAAGGATTTTTCTTTATTCAATTGATGATGATATGAAACATTTTTAAAAGGTTCTGATATGAAACATAAAAGATTAATCAATTGATTATGATCTTCTATTTCTGAATCCAAAAACACTTGCCAATCAATCCGAATAGCTAATATGTGCCAATCAATAAATAAATGAAAATAATTAAATTAAGGTTAAATATTAAACAATTAATGAATTCCAATGGTCCTATATTGGTGACAGTTCAAATAGATTTCCGAATTTTAGTGTAAAGCTTAAATTATAAAACATTAGGGTTATTTATGTAGAAATATAGAATTTAAACCCTATTTTTGGATTAGGGATCGTTTACAGCTCATTTATAAACTTTCAAATTGTTGTTAATCAAGTAAACTTTAATCACTAAACTTCTGGATAGCTATAATATACATATAATGTTTTTGGTGTACGATGAATGACTGAATTTGAAGCATATAATTTTTTTCACAAATGAAGATAAGCTACGTTCTTAGGTGTTAAACACTACAAAATTGGTGTTACAATGTCTTAAACGTTCTCATGTTAGAGCTCATAATCTAAGTCTAAGGATTTAGAACTACTGTAATTCTTATTTCTGAAAACTCGTCTCATCAACGTTGATCTTTGTCGAATGATTTTGGGCCTACTCCAGTTAGATGGAAGTGGTGTGACTAACAACTAACGTCTAAATCAAACCTCGCGGTCAGCACCTAACATGGATTACCCCTTCGTCGTATCAAAGTATTATGGATGTTTTGAAGACCGTACAACACAAATGACGCTATTACGGAAATATATTAGTAAGAATGAGTACAGAGAAGATACTGGGGTCACCACTGCATGGGCCAGTCCATGGCATACGATTAACTGATGCGCGTTGATTGTCCTTGACCTTGACGAGGATCGATGATCTGTTTAATATTCCATGATCAAACTGCCAGGTGATTTGGCTAGGACTCAGCGAAATTTCACTGACTCTACAACGGCTTTATCAAAATTACATAAGTTAACGTTGATGCTTGGAGTGAGCTTAGGTATAAACAGTTTGATTCTTCATGTTACGTAATTCCTGATAATACATTTTCTCAGCTATCAAATAATCGTTATGAAAATAAGAAAATTTGTTTAAATTAGAGAGATTAATTTAAGCATAATTCAGTGATTTTGAATTTTTAGAGGTATTTTAGTTAATGTCATGCTTAACCTCAGTTATTTGATTATTAGCAGTTAGAAGAAAGATAAATGTGAAGTCATCATAAGTGTTACGTTTATTTAGATATTCAAGGTAGGATCATTCCGTTAAACAGTTAGAGACGCTATCATTAAACTATTCAGTCACAGACCGTTCGTAATAGGAAAGAATCAAGTTCAGCAGTTGATTACAAAGGCAAAATATGGAATCATCAGTTTCGGCCAATGTAATTTCGAACACTCAATGATAATGAAAGGGAAAGACAGTGACTAACCACTTGGTTGACATAACATAAATCAGTCTTCTAAAAAGACTACTTTCGGTCTGATAAATAACATAAAATATCGTTTGTTACAACAAACAATGTATGGATATATCATAATGAGTTTACAAATACGTTCAATATAATAGCGTTTTTCCCTGGTCGGAATATTTAGTTATTTTAATTGCATCTAATGTATGGTATAGAGCAAAAAAATATAAGGATGATATATCCCTGATAATTTGATCAGTTTCAAATTATTTCGAAATAACCAAGAGAAAGTCTCTGGTTCTAAATAGTCGTCTAACTATCGTCATTCGGTTATATAAAACTAAAGCTATAACTTTACGATAGAATCTTAGTAATTAAAATGATACGATGAAGGTTAAAATGAAACTGTTTATTTCAGCAAGTTTAAATCTACTGGCTAACAAGATAGTAATTATAAAATGTACGTTGGGAAAAGAAACTTCATCGAGATAAGAAATAATCAGTACATTACGCTTCAACAAATGAAACCTTTCGCTCATTTCCAATGTAACTGAATTGATGGTAACTTTTGGATTAGTTAATGAATAACTCTTTAACTGATGAACAACAATCCTAATTTTGATAATTTTGAGATCAAATTATCTTTAAGTATACACATATACCTACCAGCTTCACATGAATTATGTAAACGTATTTGACGTTTAACAACTGGTCCATTAAACAATGCACTACCGAATCGTATAAATTGTCTTGTAGCTTTAACTGGTAAAGCAGTTTTAGGAAATATTGAATTATTCTTTACATCAGTATTCAGTAATGCTTTATTCGATAATTCACCGAAATGACCTGCGGCTAATGAATAAATTGGACATCCAACTATTTTGAAAGATGTACAAAATACAACAGGTGATAGATAGGATTCAGATGTAAGATCAAATTCTGGCAATACATAAATATAAATGTTATCTTCATAAACTCCCCATAGATTGGCTACACATATGAAACAAATCCTTAGTGAACCATATCCTGGTAAATACCATGATGGAATAGTTGGTAGCGTAGTTGTATACTGACTAATAGTAATTGGTTTAAGCTCGGCTAATTGAAAATCTGTTGTATAATTGGTGGATGATATAGCTGAATGTGCTAGTACACATGCACCTTTCGACTGTTTCAATAATAAATTACACCAATCTGAAAAGCGGAGAATAAATGAAAGATGAAGTTTAATATGATAATTTCAGTGGAACATGTAACTCCAAAATATTTCCACTATGTTCTTGATGGAGTTTCATCCTTCGAGCTGGGTGTTTTAAAAGTCAAGCTTTCTTTGTTTTTCTAAACAATGCCAACCGGGCAAGCTTTAGATAGAAGTGAGTTATTCAACTTCACATATATGTGTCCTTGATCATGACTGGTTGCTTTTATCCCCTGTTCTCTAATTGTTTATGTATATCTGGTGTTTGTTGTGATGATGTGGTAAAGAAGAACAGATATAACGCAAATATTCAATTGAAATAAAGTAAGCATTATTAAAAGACAACTAATCAGCAAAGCTCTAGTGAAGTACAACTCTGATGTGTGTTGTACAATAAGCACTTCCGACGGATCTGAACTTGCACAGAGGAACATACAAGCATCAATACTTTCAATTACATTTAACAGAAACGAATTTACGTCTTTTACATGAAATAAACACTGATGATGTTTTCCAAAAAAACTATCACTTTCCTACTCAACCATTCAAACCAGAGAAAAACATTAAACATATACGTATTGTTAGTTAGGGTATCTGTGTAGATTACAGTAATTTTAACAGTTGGGCCCATGATTCGATCTAAGATAGACTACCATTGAAAACCTAGAAGCATTGGATGGCCGTTTCGTACTAGTACGGGACTCCTCAGCAGTGCGCATCAACGATCGCGCACCAGAGAAACTTGAATCCAAGAACTTCGGCCTCACGCGCGAACGCTTGTCCTCTAGACCACTGAGCTGGTATCCGACGGTGTTAATGTCTAACTTCAATCGATCCATGATCTTCTGCAACCCTTCATCCATTGTCTGAGGTGGATAACTGTCTCACACTCGACACGGATTGGACTCCACTGGTCACAGCTTCTCACTAGAACTCTAGGAGATCTATCTTGAAGCTAGTAAATAATGAGCGCATGATTATAATCAGAGTGAGAATTTGTGAAGATTGTAGTAATACGTATTGATTCATCATTAAACATACCATAAAGAATCCTAATTTGAGTTTTATGATCATCCATGTCGTGTAAAACATTTTGACTACTTAAATAATTTTCAGTAGATTGTCTTGATGTTATGAATAAATATTTCACAGCGCCAAGTTTAGGTTTATGAGGAAAATTCTCGTAATCAGCATAATTAGTTTTTGTAGATAATCTCCCAGTATCTACGCATATTCTTGTTGGTATTGGTGTATTATTCCTAAATTCAATCCATTTTTCAACCGGTTCAAAAAGACCAATATTTTGTCCAAAGTCTAAGATCGTTGTTTCATTTAAATTATTGTTTGGAATATTGATATTTTCATGAGAACTTTCTTTGCACATTGAATCTCTACAATTACATAATAAAATACAAAAATATTCGAAGCTTAGCTTCTGTATAGTAACTTCAAATTTATTACATTCATGTATTCGTTGTAAAATTTATGAGTGCATATTCATAAAAATAAGCAATTTTGCAAAAGATTGGGATTTTATTTTGAAATAAATTTGATTTCGAAATTGTTTCCATTTAACTATTTAACGGAAAAATAAAGTAAATTAGATAACGGTAAATGTAGCCGACGGAATTCAATATCTGCTGAATACTTTGAAAACAAATGAAACTTAGACTAATTTTACATTTACCACTAGATCAAAATTTATTTGGGCGAATACCCGGCGCTTAAACCGGGTCGGTGGGTACGGAGGATCCATTTTGTGGAGTGAGAAAACCTTAGTTCCAAATCAATGGTGAATAGGAGCTCAAAGATTTCAAGGAAACAAATCGCTTCTGAAGAAATCGAACCTACTTCGGTATGGGCATCCTGGGCAGTATTCCAGCCGACGCAAAAAAATTGTGTGGCAGATGTATATTTTAGTCACCCAATGCACTAATGTTTATATGTTTAAACAAACAAATAGTGACAATATTTAAAATTGAATATGACATACGTATCGTGATTGAATGGAAAGTAGTTTATTGACAATCCTTGGACTTTAGCTGTAATTGGTAAATATAAAAACTCATTCAATCCATTTACACGTAATGGGATTTGAAGATCTTCAACTGATTTCTGCAATAAAAAATATACAGTAAAAAAATGTCAATAGACAATTACACGTAAGGTAAAAGTTTGAAGGGAATTATTACTAGTATAAACTATTGATAGTTTTATTATCTCAGCATGGATACAGAAGACTCAAATAGATTTTGCCAAATTACGTCATTTATGGCGTAAGCAATATATTCGTCTATCAACTAAAGGATGGGTTTACTGCGCAGCAGTCCGTTCTGTTCTACTTCATGGCAGGTTACTAGTATTCGATGATAGGTGTTTCTGAAACATCGCTCGTATATCCTGGGACCACCGAGTAAGTAATGTGGTTGCTAGGAAACGGGTACTAGGTAAGGATGGTAAATCAGTTGATGAAGTAATGAAAATTCGTCAGTTGAGATGGATGGGACACGTTTTATGTATGTTCAACCACCGACTACCTCAACGTACAGTGTTTCATGGTGTAGGAGTAGGTTGGAATAAAGCTAGGGGCCGTCAGGTCAAAGCATGGCACAAATCCGTGAAGTCACTGATAAATAAACTGAGACATGTTGGTAGGTCTAAACTACCTGGTTGGGAATAGCGATATGATAGCAACCGATTGTTAGAGACCCTTATATCTCTGATTACTGCTTATACTTTTACTACCTCTACCACTACGGACTTCGAATCGACAACTGCATCCTTGTGCCAATGTGGCATGGGAACTTGAACTGATCTACGTACGTACGAAGTTCTACGTTGTTACCGACTGACTGAGTTTTATTATAACTTTGAATATGTAGAAATAGTTCGAACCGATTTTCATCATTCATTCATTTACGCCTGTTACTCCTAAAGGAACATAGGTCACCGACCAGCATTCTCCAACCCACTCTGTCCTGGACCTTCTTTTCTAGTTCCATCCAATTCTTGTTCATTTTTCTCATTTCTATCTCCATTTCCCAGCGTAATGTGTTCTTGGTCTTCCTCTTTTCCTTTGGCCTTCAGGATTCCATGTGAGGGCTTGTCTTGTGACGCAGTTAGGTGCTTTCCTCAATGTGTGTCCTATCCACTTCCTGATTTCTTCCTCCGCTGGGATCTGGTTTGTCCTCTCCAACAGTAGGTTGTTGCTAATAGTGTCCGGCCGACGAATCCGTAGTATTTCGCGTAGACAACTGTTAATAAACACTTGTATCTTCTGGATCATGGCTTTCGTAGTTCTCCAGGTTTCCATCCCATATAGTAGAACTATCTTGACATTTGTATTGAAAGTTATGACCTTGGTGTTGGTTGACAATTGTTTTGAGTTCCAGATGTCCTTCAAGTTGTAAATAGGCTGCTCCTGCTTTATCGATCCGCACCTTCACATCTGCATCAGATCCACCATGTTCATCAATGATGCTGCCCAGATATGTAAAGCATTTTACATATTCCAAAGCTTGCCCGTCAAGTGTGATTCGATTGTTGCATGTTTTGTTGTATCGGAGAATCCTACTTTTCCCTTTGTGTATGTTGAGAGCTACTGCTTCTGTGGCTGGTGCTACACCCGTCATCTTTTCCTGAACTAGTTGTTGCGTGTGTGATAGAAGAGCCAGATCATCTGCGAAGTCTAGATCGTCCAACTGCATCTAGCTGTCCATGTATCCCATGCTTCCCTCCAGATGTTGATGTCTTCATATTCCAGTCAGTCACCAGGAGAAAGAGAAAGGGTGGGAGTGAGCAACCTTGCCTGACACCGATCTTTACTTCGAACGAGCGTGTCAGCTGTCCTCTATGTGTGATTTTGCAGTGTAATCCATCATAGGAGTTCCGTATGATATTGACTATCTTCTGAGGCACGCCTAGTATCGAAGAAGCTTCCATAGTGTTGTTCTGTCCACGCTATCAAATGCCTTTTCGTAGTCAATGAAGTTGATGTAGAGTGATGAATTCCATTCAATTGATTGTTCCACAATGATCCGTAGAGTTGCGATTTGGTCTGTACACGATCTATCCTTACGGAATCCTGCCTGTTGGTCACGAAGTTGTGTGTCTACGTAGTCCTTCATCCTGTTTAACAATACCCTGTTGAAGACTTTTCCCGGTATTCAGAGAAGAGTGATGCCCTTGTAATTATCACAGTTGCTGAGATCGTTTTTCTTCCGTATTTTGACCAGAAGTCCTTCTTTCCAGTCTTTTGGTACTTGTTCCTCATCCCAAATCTTATTGAAGAGAATGTGGAGTATCCTCGCATTTACTGCTAAATTTGCATGCAGTGCCTCTGCTGGAATGCTGTCTGGTCCTGCTGCTTTGCCACTCTTGATTTGCCTGATGACCATGCTGATTTCTTCAATTGTTGGTGGGCCAACATTGATTGGGAGGTCCGTGGGTGTTTCTTCGATATTGGGCGGGTTCAGTGTGGCTGGTCGACTCAAGAGTTCTTTGAAGTGTTCTACCCACCTGTTTTGTTGCTCTTCAATGTTGGTGATTACCTTGGTCGTTCTGGTTTACGGTGATTTCCAGACAGCTTCTTTGTTGTGTCATACAGTTGTCTCATGTTTCCTTCTCTTGCAGCCTTTTCCGCCGTCATTGCTAAATCTTCCACATATTTACGTTTGTCAGTTCTGATGCTCCTCTTCACCTGCTTGTTTACTTCTGTGTATTCAGATTGTACCTTGACCTTCTCTGCTCTTGTTCGGCTGGTATTGATTGCTGCCTTCTTGTTTCTCCTTTCCTGAATCTTATCCAGTGTATCAACAGTGATCTATTCCTTGTGATGGTGCTTCTTGTGGTCTAGAACCTCATGACATGTTGAAGTGATTGCCTCTTTGATGTCCTTCCACTTGCTCTCCATAGTAGTTCCTTCTCCACTTAGTAGATCATGAAAGGCCTGGAACTTATTGGTGAGGACTATCTTGAATTCTTTGAGTTTGTCAGTATCCCGAAGAAAAGCCGTATTAAACTTTTGTGATATTGTCCGCCCCGTCGTCCAGTACTTCTTGAGTTTCAATTTCATCTTGGCGACCAGCAAGTGATGATCTGATGCTATATCAGCTCTTCTCTTGGTTATCACATCCTCCATCGTCCTCCTGAACTTTTTGTTGATGCAGATATGGTCGGTTTGGTTCTGTGTAGTGTGATCCGGTGAAGTCTATGTCGTTTTGTGATTGCGTTTATGTGAGAATATAGTGCCACCTATGACCAGTTTATTGAGGGCATATAGGTTTGCAAATCTCTCACCATTTTCGTTCCTTTCTCCTTTCTGTTTTCCCGATTTTCATATGAATACAATAATATGTAACTAGTCAAAAATTCACAAAATAACACAACAAAACAAAATGATTAACAACACATTTATCAATTTATTATAAAGTGTTTATTATTTCAAATCACCTGTTTATGAGCACATATCGAAATTTCAAATAATTGACTTTGTTGACCTATGATTCGATAAGTTTTGGGAATCACATTAATTGTAACCCATTCTTTATCATTTCCAATAGGCTGTTAAAAGTAATTTAAATATAAAAAGAATTATGATAAATAAAACATTCCTGATATAGTCTTGATACAATATTATCAACAGAATAAGAATGATAAAATCGAAAAGAAAAGTGTATTTCGAAACTGTTAAAACCAATGCACAAAAAAGTGAATATACACAATGTAATTAAATTAACCCCAACAGATTTTTCATTCGAGTAAATGCTCCATCCTCAAGATGCGATTTTCATAATTTACTAACGTATTGTTAAGTAACTCAGTATACAGATGAACATTGTGTAGATAAAATATTTTTTTCATGCTCCCTGCTCTACCATTACCAAACATCACGATAGTGATGGTGATTTATAGGGTTTTTTTCAGTTTTTCGACCTACCCTTTATCATTGTTCTATGGTTTTCTTATCTGACATCTAGAGATAAGACTTCTGTGTTTTGTAGGACTTTAAATATTGTCATTAAATCTAGCTGTGAATATCTGACAGTTATCAACTATCCATTTTCCTGACTACTATCTTCTAGTTTTTCCTCATAAATTTGCATCTCTACAGAGAAAATGTTTTGTAGTAGCTGGTAATATGTCAAACTCACATAGTCTTGCTAGCTTCTGAACAGACTAGTTTATTCATTCTTCTCAAGTCACATTTTGACCTTTTTACTTATTCGCTTATTAACCCTGACGGTTTTTATATGTATGTGTATGTTAATTTCTTGCCCTATTCATTACGTGCTTGTAATTTATTTTTGTTTGAATATCAATATTGAGTCACACCTGATTAAACCGAGCTGACTTACTCGCCTCTTTCACTGCGCGTCATTATATTTCGTTTTGCTTTCTCTAGTTCACTTTCTTCACTTTCTGTATTTGGTTTCTTGATTGTCTCTTCAGATCAATAAGTGTACGAAAAATACATATCCAAACTTCATTCTCATAATTGACTTATTTAATTCCGTTACTCACTAACGCAATTTAAGTCGATAATTGTATACAGCGGTAGCTGGGATGTATATTTCAATAACATAATCATACGATCTAACTGAAGTCAAATGGAGGGTAACATCATTGTTTACAAAAATACCACTTCTTGAAACCATAGACATAATTTGTCAACATTCTGACATCCTACCTCTACCAGTACCAGAATTCAAACGACTATTACTCATTTGTACAAAAGATGTTCAGTTCCAGTTCAACGATATCATATACAAACAAACCGACGGTGTAGCGATGGGAAGTCCGTTAGGTCCTGTCCTAGCAGATATTTTCATGGCTAACCTCGAAAGAACCAAACTCAAACGAGCGATTGATGAAATGACGTATTATTCGAGGTATGTTGATGATACCTTCATCGTATGTAATAATAAACAACATGCAATAAATCTGCTAGAGTTTTTCAACGAAGCACATCCGAATATCCATTTCACTATGGAACATGAAAAAGAAAACAAGTTCCATTTTCTCGATATCGCGATGAAAAGAAGAAAAGATGGTACAGTTCAACGTTCAGTTTATAAGAAAGACACATGGAATGGTAGTTATCTTAATTTCAATAGCTTTTGTCCAATCAGTTACAAAAAGGCACTGGTCAAAACACTGTTTCACAGAACAGAAAGAATATGTACTTCCGATACACTAGAAGAGGAAGTTATGAATGTTAAAAAATGTTTAAAGAATAACGGATACCCACTGAAATTTATTGAGAAATACGGCAAATGTGAAGATAAAAAACCGAAAGAAATTACAGCAAATAAAAAGCCTATTTTTATTCAACTTCAATTCAAAGGTGACGATGTCACAGGATCAATCAATATGAGACTAAAAACTGCACTGACAAGAACTTATCCTGCAGCGAAATTGATTGTCCTGTCCAAAACAACATGTTCTTTGACACAATCAAAGGTCGACAGGTATCCCTTTCATGTTACCACCAACTGTGTATACAAATTTACATGTACCTGCCAAAGCAGTTACATTGGTAGAACAGAAAGGAGAGCCTACGTCCGATTCAAAGAACATATTCCGAAAAGTTTAAGGTTAAATGGATTGAACGCATTCAACAGTGCTATCGCAAGACATCTCCTTGATACAGGACATAAAGCTGATATACTGAAGTCCTTCAAGGTGATTAACAAACAATCAAACTCGAACCTTTTGAAATTCGCTGAAGCGTTAGCAATCAAACGTTTAAAACCAGATCTATGTATACAAAAAGAGACAGTAATAAATCTTTCTTTACCCTGGTAACAATAACCCCACCCTTTCTATTCATTTGCTCCTATTTATTTATTTATTTATTGCGTCATTATTGCAACTCTTTCTGAAGTTTAAATTACATCATACATAAATGATTGATTTCAATTCATATTTTCTTTATTACCATTAATCTATTTTCATGAGTTCTAATCACTATTTCAATGTTCTGGAACTTTCCCTCTCTAACTTTATTTATTTATTCGAATCAAACATTTTATGAGCTCATTAACTCTATCTGAATCTTTGCTTGCTACATCATCATACACATGTATTGATCCTTAATCACACTCTTATGTATAAATATGTCAATATCTGTAATAATGTTGAATTTCAAATAATTTAGGTTGTAAGCAGCTGATGAGAACCTAACGAAATAAAATGAATTCATATTATTCTGCACCAATCTTTGTTCTTGCTCTATTTAAAATAATAAAGGGAACTATGTGTATGAAATCTTACTGAACATAACTTTATTGTCATGTTTCGTATTTTATCCAGAGACTCCTCTTACTGTAACCAAATATATAGCATTTAATTCAGGGACTATGATCATCATCATTAAAAATATACATTTCACAAATAAAATTTAATTATTTTACACACAGATATTATTTCCAATGCAGACTACTTACTTCAATCCATTCTAAATCACAATCCAACATATTTAAATTCGTGATTGTTACTGTTTCAGTGACAGGAACATTCCAAAAACATTGATTAAAATCAATATGAAGTGGATGGAAATCAATCAGTGGAGTTTGAACTTCTGCTATGAATAAAAGTTTGCTAAACAAAAAAAAGTGAATCGTTTAACAAACATATTTCTATATTTTTAATACATAGAACTGTAAGTATAACCATTCATTCACAAATTATCGTGAAATTATTACTGCTTTGTTGGATGTGTTGTACGTATCCGGAAGGAAATATTGAACTCGTTAGCATTGGATACTTAGAGTCTCGATCAAAATGATTCCCTAGTGGGATTTGAAATGAAGTCATCTATCCTCATATTCTGAAACAATAACACTAGACTATTTGGATTGCGACTTTCCTCATGTAGAATTGAAATAGTTAAAAACGATCAGTCATTAAGTATTGATCATTGTCAGTTTTGTTCATCCCTAATGATAATAAAATTCTGTCAATCAAGTCGCCTTTGAACTAAATGAAATGTGCATTTTGTATACTTGCCTATTCCTAATACACTGGTTCTGTGAAAACCAGTCTTCTTCCGAAAGCATGAATTCATTTCCACGCAACGTTTGACAATAAGTAGATAATCAAAGAGGTTGGAAGCCTTTATCGAGCAAGGTGAATGTAACACAAGACCAGCTATCAACTACTATTACGATCTGTGCTGAGTAGATTGTAAAAGGATGAAGGTAACTAAACCAAGATATTCTATTAATTATTTATGTTATTCACTTACGTGTGGTACGACTTAAAGATGGTCACATCCAAACAGATTTATTCACTGTTTCCCATCCTATGGATCGATAGCATTATATTACTCTGCCTTATCAGTTCCATTGAGTTATTTGTTCTTTATGAACTATATTGTTTACATTTAGAATTTCACTTCGATTTATGTTAATATAGCCCATTCATCTACATTTTATTTGATCCAGTTTCACTGTTTTCTTGCTAATGTGACTTCTATCAACTTCAACTGATACAAATATGTATCACATTCAATGTTATTTATGATAAACCATTTTAAAAGAGATTTTGCTCTCTAAAATTCCAACTCATAGTCAATGATACTTCTATAAGCAACAAACTATGTAGTACGGAGATTCGGTGTCAGGTGACTTTATTTAGATACGATTTTTGGTTGAATTGCCAGTATACAATAATACAATTGAATAACTATGTGGAAAAAACTTGTTTCTCATGAGTTTTTGACGAATAGATTAAAGATTTCCACACTATTCGTGAATAAAATTCAATATTTATTTGCATTTAACATTAGTTAGATCAATTATTCAGAATGGGAACAGAAAATAAAACAATAAATTCAATAAAATAACATGAGCTTATGATAGTTGTAGCTATATGTGCTTAAACTGAACAGGAGATGTTGATAAAAATAGTTTTAAAATATTGTTAGATCAATGATAAATACATAATGCATATAAATAAAAATTAAAAAACTGACGAATTCACTAGATGTTGTTTTACTTGTATCTTCCGATTGTTATTTAGAACTGCAGTTGATCAGTTTCATGTTGGCATATGTGCATCCTGTGCGGATTGCCTCGATGTAGCCTTAAGTCACAAGCTTTTTAAACAAAGATGGATAGTGGCTAGCAGTGGAATCTAGGGCGCGCGTTTCGTTCTATTTAAGACTCGTCAGCTGGATGAACCTGAAACTTAGAGTTAAAGTTCGCTCCGGAGTTCGAACCCAGTACAGTGAATAACATGATGACGTTTGAAGCGAACGGTACTGATTTCGAGTACCGGAATGAACGCCAACTCTGAGATGCAGGTACATCCAGCTAACGAGTCCCAGATAGGACGAAAAGCGCGTCCTGGATTTCACTGCTAGTCACTATCCATCTGACAGTTTCAAACAAACTGTTATTTTTTGAAATACCAGTTTAAAGGTGACTACATCTAGTGGGTTGAAGCATGATGTCTAAATAAGACAACTTAAAACAATCAAGTTAAGCTATTCATCCAGTAGGAAACGGATTGTAGATCTATTGAATAAAAACGATATTGTTCGACTGGAACATCACTGCGTGTATTTGTCAACTTGTGAATATTCCTGTAGCTAGTTACAGTGGCTTACGATTAGGTCAGTTCGCTTTTATGTTTCTGAACATCTCATAATGGGAATCTACCCATTTACAGACCTTGGTATACGTCATTATAGATATTATTGAAGCCCCAATTTGTTAAAAACAGTAAAATATTATTGAAAATAATGACTACCTTATTTCTTCAGAATCTTCAGTATGTACAGTAATAATATCACGAACACTTCTTGTTACTTGTGGTGTAAAAACCAAATTCATTTTTACTGATTGGAAGGGTTTTATGACTCCATAAGATGGGTGTGCTTCTAAGTCAGATCCAAACTGTAAATATATTTCAATATTTAAAAGATTTTTTATGAAAATATATTCTCTTAACCAAGAGAGCTGATGAATCCAAAAAAACAAATTTAAACAGAAATAATACATGGACTGGGCAATATACACTTTTCCAAAGTCTTGTACCTCTACGGTACAAACGAAACCGGATCAAAACTCTTAGTTACCGAATATGCATTATATGTTCTACGGATATAGTCGAAGGTGAGCTAAACACCTTGCGTAATATTCGTAGGAAGAACAGTTACGCTAGAAAGTTTATAATTAAATTTATGATCACTAAGGTTAGAACAAATTAAATACGAACAGTGAACAAGAAATCCCAGACCATGGGCCTGCAATTCAGAGGGTACGAAGCTAACAAAATATTAATCCATCGATTACGTAGAACGATCAGAAAATCGTTCAACACCGAAGAACTATGACTATTGTTTTCTACGAGCTCAATGGTGACAACGACGTTAAAAGATGAATTAGCAAGAGCGACTACCTAGTTTTGTGTTTATCAATTCGACTGCAGTTGTCGAGTAAGTTATACTGTTCAATGTTCTAGGAATTTACACTTTCGTGCTCGCGAACACTTCCCAGCGCGGATAAGCAAAGGTCTAGTAAATGACGTGAACAGCTTGAAAGTATTCCATTTAGTGCAAACTGGTCATAGTGCTAGTATAAGCCAATCTTTTCCAATTATTTATCGGGTCAGTAATATTTTATCAAAGTTTGTCGGATTCAAAGTCCTTCAAACAGCGTAACCAGTAGCCATTCGAATTACGAAACAAGAGTTATGAGTACAAAAGAAATACCTATAACAGCTTCTCCTGCTTTGGCCAACATCAGGGCCTACCGAACGTATAATCCAATTGATGAAACACATATACATACAATGAATAAAACTTACTCAATTGATTATTTACTAATGTTACTCTAATGATGTCATTTTATGAACATAGCAACAAACTGTTAATTGATAATAGTCAGTCAAATAACAACTACTCAAGATCATAAATTTCATTCAGTGTAAGAACTAGTGAACCGTTTATAAAAATCTGTAATTACATAAAATTCGAACTTGAGATTGACAAAACAGTCATATTGTTCAGTTAGACGGTCATATTTACCATTTATATGTTAGCAGTATATCTTTAATACAGACTAATTCAGTCTTGTATAAGAATGAAATGTACACCAAACCATATGGTACATGGTGTTTTAAGTAAAACTTAAGGCTAATTTCTGAAATGTTTGTTAGATCGTAATTTTTCCGAAATAAAGTACCTGGTTATGATCACGTTTCGCCTCAACACAATTTTGACTTTCTTAACGGTGCCTAGACCTTTAATGAATTGCACAGCATTTAACTTTGATCTTATTGTGAGAAGTATATTAGGTCAACATATAATGCATGAAATCTTAATATTACATCCAGTCAACCATATGAACTCGACTATATATGGAGTGGTGTATTATAGCCTTTGGTTACATTTGATTACTGAAACAGTTGGTTTACATCATCCATAGAAGACCTGTCTATATTACTAACACTAACTTTTGTTCTTTTCAGTCATATCAAACAAATAAAACTATATCTTATCAACTTTTAATATACTTTATCACAAGTAGAAATAAGCTGTTGTTTGATAAAGTATTATTCTATCAACCATTTAACCACACTTCAACATGTTTTGTTAAGCTCAAAATAAATGACAAGTTATCATTTTACTAAATTCTTACCTTGTCAATAAATGTTTCCATTTTCACAAACCATTTTCTTGGAGAGGGGGTAGTGTTCGTTAGTAGTATATCCATTTCAGCTGTTTCATTCGGACGCATAAGACCAAAGTTACAGTCTGTTCTATCAAAAATAATGGTAGGGCTCTAAAATAAATAATGAGAAATATTTGTAAAGAAGTTCGGTATTATAAAAAATGACTAATATGATCAAGATGAAACCATATATATACTGAAAACACTAATCACAGAATTCATGCCAGTACACAGGCGTGATCATCCTCATATAGATTGTAGTATTAAATGTAGCGAACAGATATGTGATATTAGGTTGTTTGGCGTATTCTAATTCAAAAATTGTTGAGATAGTAAACTGTTCATAATTATTATAAGGGTGAAAGTCATTAGGCTGGAACTTTAATTCCTTTAGAGTGAACATCCTGTTGATGCATGAACGGTGCATTTAAGGTCATTTCCCGTGCCATAACGAATTGGTTATAACACATAACTGACAAACTTCATCCCATTACTAGTTAAGTCTACTTATAGTTTTATTAAATTATCACTTTTCTGCTTGTTTTTAATGAACAGTTTTACAGAGTTTGCTTTAAAATGCTTGATACAAGAGGGTATTAAACAGAACGCCCTACACAAGGAAGATAAAAAAAGAATAAATGTCATTAAATCAATGAACAAGAATATTGTCTATAAAATGATACAATCCAGTTCAGAAAATAATCAACGGGCATAAAAGTCCATTGTACTATTATTAAGAATGTGAAAATACACTACAACAAGATTGTTATTGATTTCTATTCTGAGTTGTATCTGGTAATATCGTACGTTAACGAGTTGCTTGATCACTAGAACCCCGCCATAAGTCATCATGAATCAAATGCTACCAGCACTAAAAAATTATCTTTTGTATCCTATCGCCATATTATAAACCTGGGTCCAACGTTGAAAAATAGTATAGAGAATGAAAACAGAAGGAAGGCTACATTCTCAAAATATAATCATGGCACCATAAATAATAAAGATCACGTATAAAAAATATGTTAAAACCGTTTCATTAAGCCTAATCAGTTTACAATCACATAAACTGGCAGAACTCCGTAATCTAAATGATTGAATCCCAGCTCAGCATTATAAATTTGACTCAGCCATTAGACCTTAGGTTATTATGCTTAGTTAATTTTAGAGTCATATATGTACTCTGTTTAGGCCCAGCAAACAAGAGAGGAAGTTATCTTGTTCTCCCTTTGTTACAATTGTTTTCAAACTTTAAATAATTTATACTTAAAACTAAATTAATTAAACACGTGTTAGCGAAACATAGATTGGATTAAAGCATGCTCAATGCATGACTGCTTCGGTGTACGTTGATTGGTTAATTGTTATCTAATCAGCGCTAGTCGATAGTTGGAGAACACTAGAATCTTCTCATGTAAAAACTATAAATAAACTAACGTTTTTTCCCATTGTACTTCTTACATCCATCTAACCTTGTTATTTGGAATATAATCTCTTTCCTGTTAAATCGTGTTCTGATTTGGGGACTTGTCCGAGTATACTAAGCATTAAGAATAGCTGGGTTGTAATAAGAGAGAATTGTAACAACACGTATTAATTTAAGATGATCCTTTATTACTATATTTAAAGAAAAGTAGGTTACTTACCGAAAATTCAACTTCAATATATAACCAAAGTGGACTATTAGGTAATATATTAATAAAACATGGAATATTTTCTTTAATTTTAATAGATTTTGAAGATGATACCATGATATCAATATTAATTGATTGTCCAGGATCAATTGAACCTATAGTTGGTTCTAAAACAATTAAAGCTTTATTTGATTTTTCTATTTCATTAAACGTTTTTGAACTTTGTTGTCTACTTGATTGAAGAACTTCTGTTGTAGATTGAGTACAATCACTTAAATTGATAGAATTTCTTTCAGTGTTAAAATTATGTTGCCATGAATATGTTACAGAACAATTGGAGGATTTATTCACTAACTTTAATATAATAACATGAAAAAGTTAATGAAAACGTTGAATCAAAATTTACTATAAATTGCTTGTTAGAGAATTGGTTAACGAACCAAACTAATTATATACTAAAAGTTATTTAGATAGACTATAGCTAATAATTGAGAAATCATTTATAAGTTCATTGAAATATTCATACTCATATTCACATTGTGATATATCTTGAAATCCTGAAAGGCTTCTTTTTGGTTTCCAGGAATAATTATTGACTTTACAAGTATGTATGAACACAAAATATGCATCTCAACTGTTCCTTAAGAAATCTTGAAATAGATTTAGAAAGCTCATCTGACTTCTACTAACGACAAAACTAGAGGTTGAATAGATGAAAGTCTCAGTTCATGAAATCACTGACTATTGAAGAGAACCATGTCATCAGTAGTTGTATACTATACGGTTTGCGTTCATGTGATTATCTTAATCGATGGTTAATATTTATATCCTGAAAGGCTTCTTTTTGGTTTCCAGGAATAATTATTGACTTTACAAATATGTATGAAAACAAAATATGCATCTCAACTGTTCCTTAAGAAATCTTGAAATAGATTTAGAAAGCTCATCTGACTTCTACTAACGACAAAACTAGTATCTTATGCAGTAATTTTTTTCTGTTCTACTTTAAGTCTATAAAACAAGGCTTTTGGAAATAGAGGATATTAGCAGGCTACTGAAATCCGGTTACACATACCTATAAGGTAATGCTAGAATGGGTTGGGTCTATTAGGTGTTAAACACTGAGATAAGGAGGGTACTAGTTACAGATGGCAAGTCAGTTAATGTGGAAGTACATCTTCATTGATTAAGGTGGTTTGGACATAAAACATGTGAGCTCAACCCCCACGTACCTCAACTACTGATGTCTGATAGAACAGAGGTTGAATAGATGAAAGTCTCAGTTCATGAAATCACTGACTATTGAAGAGAACCATGTCATCAGTAGTTGTATACTATACGGTTTGCGTTCATGTGATTATCTTAATCGATGGTTAATATTTATTAACCTAGCTCGAAATCCATCACAATGGCGTCGACACACCTATACTTCTCCTTTCTCTGGGTTTTAAGTTTCAACGTCATCTCATCCATTTTATCTTATAAACTAATTTTTCCTCTATAATTATATTGTCTATGCTTCATGACTACAACTATCAATGATGTTTTTACTACTTCTAATACTCTGGTGGTCGTCTTGATGAGTTCATCTCACTGTAATGATGTGGTGTGGTAACTTTTATCGACCTTCAAAGGTGAAATATCTTTTGTGAAAAACCTTTACAGAAATTCAATAGCAGTTTGCAGGTGTCGAATACCAAAGCAATAACCATATGATTAATCAAAGATATTTCTTTCACGTTTTTCAATGTTAATATCAACAATAAGACTTGATACACATTTTAAATGTTAAGTCAAATAAAATATTACATTTGTTGTTGAATAATTACACTGTACGTATAAAATCCTATTCTCACATAATACAAAGAATTCATGTCCATTCTTAAAGCTTACCTGCACAGTACGGTATACAGGAACATCAAGCAAACACTTCCCAGGAATAATCAAAATTGGTGGTTCAATTGATATTGAAAGTGGTTCTGCTGTCCCTTCTAATTCAATTGTTAATTGTTTTTTGTCTAATTTATAACAATTTCCTTGTTCATCTACTTCTGGTATACCAAGCAATATTATTGCCAGTTGTGTTCTAAATGTTCCAACCTGTAAAACAATCAAAATGGATTATTCATATGTATATATAAAAGAATATATATCTACGAATGGTATTTGTTAACCAGTGTAGTTGCAAATGCTTAGTAAGGATAATAACCTGAGAATAGCATTCTTTTCAATAACTGTAATAGGAATGTTCAGAAAACAACAATTATTTATTGTGCTTAAAGTGTTACGACAAGTGATTTACTAATAAAATCAAAAAACAACTCATCAATTGACATAAATATATTTCAGAAAATAAATAAATCCGTGAAGTGAACTATTCATATTTCTGATAGAGACTTAAGTATTTCTAGTAAAAGTGATTATGAAATACAGTTAACTTTATGCTAACGTTATTTTTTAAACCAGTCAACATATTTAATACGACTTATTCGAGATAACCATTGACTTGTACTACGAGTGTGGATTTCATTTGTAAGGATTAGTATTTCCTCGTTGTTGATGTCAAAAACTGAGATTAATCAATCTCTGCTGGCAAATTTGATTCCTGTACAAACGGTCCTGTTGCTGTTATTTAGTCTAAAGTTTTAAAAAAATTAACTCAGGTGAAATATCATAAGTATTTAAAGAGTAAAATACTGTAACTGAGTTTCATTGTGAACAACAACAATTTAATTTAGGTAAATTCAGCTTCAAGTCCTGAATAGGATAAAACATGACTTCTGGAACCAACTGCTAAAAAATATCAAGTATGCTAAAAATGATTCTACCCCAGTTTTAGACTCATCAGCACTATCAACCTGAGGCCTTGTTATAAGCTCTACACTATTAAGGCACACAAACGAAATTAATTATTGCTTATTTCTAACTTTATTTAACTTCCTGATACAGTCCAACCAACATCGAATAACATCGGGTGGTATTTGTTTTACTCTAAACATGGTTGAACCATACAGATGATGATGATAAAGTTCATTACCAACAAATACTCTTCTCTGTATATCAAATAAGTAAATACTAAATTATTATTATATGATTTTATACTCTCTTACTTGAGTTGGATTAAAACAAATTTGAAAATGTTTCATTTCATTCGTTTCAAATATACCAGTTGTTGGATTAATAGTAAATAATAATGGTACATCATTATCGGTTTGATTATCTGATGAAGATATTACACTTGTTGATGATAAAGATTTACGTTGATTTAATACATCATCACTTTTAATTAAACTATCTGAAGTATACTCTGAAAGATTTGTTCCACTGAATTCATCTTCCTGAATCCATTGAAAACGTAGAGGTTCTGAGCTATAAAAAAGTTAAGAATAAAAGAGTTTTAAAATGATGAAACATATTAATTTAACGTGTTCAGAAACTTTCATGGAGATGATTGTAATAAATAAGATGAACAATCCATGATTAATAGAATAATATCTTTTAATGACCCTTCGGTTCTAAATAGTTACATACAGTATGTGTCAGTCGATGACTGGAACTTGTTAAATATATTTTTATTCAACAGTTTTGAAAATTTAGTTATTTGAATGTGAGTTTTACAACTGCAGTCAAATTAAGTGAACACAAAAAATTATGCAATAATAGACAAAGGTTTTGTTGTCGTTTAAAATGAAAAGGTAAAGTATTCTATAGTGATAACTTAGATCAACTTTACTCTTACACTAAACAACATTAAATATAAGAGTAGAGGGTGATTAGGGATACGCTACGTTGGTCCTAATCAACGCAGTTTTTCTAAAAGTCTATCAACTTTTCCTTTTAGAATGACAACCTACACCTATTATCAATTCATGAGATTATGACAATAGTATATATAGAGTTGAAAGATAGAACACAATGGATGTGTTAGAGTAAGAATGCTAACTAGTTATGATTAAAAGTTCTCAAAAAACATAACTTAGACCATCATAATTCCCAAATGTTCCTCCGAATCGTTGGTAAAATAACCTAATAGAATATTTCTAAAAGCTTTTTTAATTAATCAAAACCCAAATGGTCTTAACATTAAAGTAAGTTTTTATGAATAGTTATATCATACCAAAATTTTTAGATCATCTGTCTTTTAATTATGCAAATAGTAAAATAATATTTTCTTATTTTGACTTATTGCAAACAATTAAATCCCTTAATTAAATAAACCATTTAACAGCTGATATTTTCAGAAAGTTGACAACCTATCTATACCAGTGTCTAATAGAACAGAACTCAAGTGAAGACATTGTATAAGTGAGTTATATTTTCTTATTTGTCTATGACTTGCATAAACAAATTCCCTTGTATGTAAAGCCATATTTGACCACTCTCCAATAACTTACGCATATTATGGAAGAAAAACGTAATAAATATAGAACTGACTAAAAAAATTTGTAATTGAAGACACACGATAAATGATCACTGTTGCATAGGTGACTTTCATGATTAATTCTTTTTTCAAATCCCAACATTCAACTTAAATGTTTAGATTTTCCGCTAAACATTTCTTACTATAACTTAATAACCAGTAGAATGCAAGCCCTAATATCAACGCTGTTCATCTTTTTTTAGGATTGTTGGTATAAAATATACAAATTTTAGTTATTAAATCACTTACAGATCATAAAAATTAATAAATGTATTATTAAACTTATGAAAAACTTATGTAAATACTCCAGTCCTACGGAAGGTCGGCTGAGATTTGAACAGAATAAGATATAATAGCGAAAAGTATCTCAGACATTGATTGATACTTGCAATTAATTCGCGACTAATGAGATGATAAATTGGATAGTGGCTATCAATGGAATCCAGGAGGCGCACTTCGTCCTATTTGGGACTCGTCAGCTGTATGTACCTGCATCTCAGAGTTAATGCTCACTCCGAGACTCGAACCCAGTACCGCTTGCTTCAAACGCCATCGCGTTATCCACTTGTCTACTGAGTCCTGATAGCCACCTGCTTGTGCAATAGGGTGAAGTTCAAATTCACTTGGTATTGTTGTACTTGTATCCTCCCATTGCTATTTAGGACTGTAATTGAGGCTATATCGAGGCGATTCGCACAGGATGCAAATATGCCAACATGAGATCGATCAATCGCGGTCCTAAATAACAATGGGAGATTCAAGTAAAACAGCACCAAGTGAATTGAAATGATGAATTGTTTATTAAGGTAATTAGTTAAGTTTGAACAATTGAAATGTAATTTTGAATATTTTGTTTTACTAAACGAGTTGATATATTAGTCAACAGTCATTAGGAACCACTATTTCAATTAACTAATTTTTATTTATGTTTAACAATATTAGCTATGTATTTCATTCTAAACGTATAGAGAGAAGTGAATTGATCCTACAAATTTTGCTATCAACCGCTGAATAATAAGTAATGAGTAGCAAATAGGACTGACTTTACGTAACTATCAACAGTAGATAGTTTAAGGCAAGGAATCAACATCATTTGAAAATTAAGTGGAAATAACGAAACACATTTGTTTCGTCCTATTTCTGTGCGTCTCATCAGTTTGCTCTTACTATCTACATACACTCGGTTTCGTTGGTCGGGCATATATGTGAGCTTATTCAAGTTACTACAATTCAGTAGTATTACTGGACGAGAATTTCACAATAAATACCAAATTAACAAAATTAGTGACAGAATCAATTATATTGGGTGTAAAAGTGTTCACGCGCGAAATCGAAGGTTCTGGGTGCGTGATCGTGGATGCGCACTGCAGAGGAGTTTCATACTGGGACGAAACGGCCTTTCAGTACTTCCAGGTTTTCAATGGTGGTCTAACATCGCCTGATTCATGATCTCAATCAAAAACTTAGCAATTTCCACAACCCTATACTGATATTAAAAAATGTTAGGCATAGAAAATTCACTTTAAAACATCATAAACATTTTTTTTACTTACCAACAATTTCTTATCGTCATTGTTTTTGGTGAAATAGTGTGGGGATAATGTTTTGGAAATTGATAGAAATAAAACTGATCATTTGAAATAGTATCAACTTTTCTAAAAGTAGTTGACGATTTATTTGAAGTAGATAACTGATTCTGATCAGTAATATCGATTATTTGTAATTGAGGTTCTTCCCCTCTACCTAAATTATTTCAAGAACAATAGAATCGAAAAACTGAAGAAAAAGATTGTTTGTTTTTAAAACGACTAAATGTTTAATACAAACGGTTAAATATATTTGTTTGAGTGTTTATTATTAAGTGAACTCAAATTGAAGAGAAGTATATGTACAGACAGTGTCAAACCACAACCTACTTCAGCGCATGATTCTTGCTGATTTAGTGGAAGACTACACGAAATCCAGGAGAGAAGTTACTTTGGTAGAGGTAGTATACCTTAATGTTGTCCGGATTATTGTAACCGATGTTTAGAGACTGTTTAACATGGCTCGAAATCGGTCACATTGGCTTGAATGCATTCATTCTCTGTCACTCGTAAGATCTTGGAATTAAGTAGTCTGTTTTTTTCTTAAAAACATTTTATCTGTACAGGATTTTTCTTGTCACAACATATACTGTCATTATTTCTTCGAATTTTGTATTTATCTTGATAATTTCATTGATCTATACCGAAAGGGGGTTATCAGTTTCAATCGATGTACGCATATACCAGGTTCTACATCAATTGTGACTGAATGCTGACTTCTGTTCAATAGTTCTGCTTTTAGTATCATTTTATGAAGTAAAATTGATTGTCGCAATACCAACTTATTAAATGACATAGAGATAAGATATTCACGACTACATAGTAAAGTGATTACTAAGTCTCTCAAACGTCCTGTTACAAATTTCATATGATTTTACCTATTATACTACGATGTTCACTGAGATCAATGAGTAAGATAAAATCATTTTTATTGATCTTAGTTTAATATTCCTGAATAGTGTGAATTTATGACCTATTCAGCTAAAAAATCCCACCAGGTCTTTCAATTAATGTATTATGTTTTTGACTATACAGAAATGAACTAATGTTAAAAATATGATTAAAAGGACTCATACACCGTGATTTGAAGTAATGGATTTGGTCTCGAGATGATAATGTAGCCGTCCACTGACGCAGCTAACGTCAATCTATGTTTAAATTATCTTCAAGCTGAAACAAATTCTACAAGTTGGCTATTCAAAACATTAAATTTTAAAATGGCAGTAAATAATAAGTAACTACCTTTGAATGTCACCGGGAAAAATTGACCATTATCAGAAATCAATACAAGTTCCCATTTATATTCTGCAGCACACAATGGTTTAAATTCTACTGTTATTGTGATCGATTGCAATGATTCCAAATCAAAATTGACTGGTTTGAGAGAAAATGATTCCAAACATAAACTAATTGAAGAGGAATTCACATGCAACGAGTAAAATTCCTATCAAAAAGCAAAATGTTGCAGAAAAACATTTTCTTGCTATTAATTAATAAAATGCTCCAAATAAAATTTACAAAGTTGTTATTGTTGGTTATTGAAACGCTTCAGCTTTTACATTGTCAAGTTTAAATATGTGTTCAAATCCAGTCATTCAGCTACGTTTCCTTACAACATATAGACCACTACTACGATTAATTTTGAGGTATGTTTTGACAGAAACTGATAGTTATTTTCTAAGCAGAGATGGCTGGTAGCTAGCGGTGGAATCGACGACGCGCGTTTCGTCTCATCTGCGAATCATCAGCTGAATGTACCTGCATCCCAGAGTTTATGTTTACTCCGAAACTCCAACCCAATACTGTTCGTTTCAAACGCCATCGCGTTACCCACTTAGCTTAGGTTATAATTTATTTTTGTATTGTTTGTTTGAATCTTCTCATTGGTGTATAGGAGTTCGATTGATCAGTTTCTTATCGGCATATGTGCATCCTGTGCGGATTGCATCGATATATGGTAATAAGTGACTAATCAGTTATAGTTCTAATCATCAATCGAAAGATTCAAACAAACAATACAAAAATGGATTCATTATTTTCTTTCGATGTGCTGCCGTATGAATAATAATGGCCATATAATAAGATATCTAAACAGTTATTGAGGTTTCTAACGCATCAATTATATTTTATCAGCTGGTGTAAATAATTTACTTTAAATTAAATAGAAAGTGTTCAAAGTAACGATGAAAGCTATGTGTACCAAAATTTCAAATATATTACGAGACATAAGTAGTATGTATAAGATGATCAGTTTCAAACAATCAACATACAAGTTTTAAGATAATTGGATAAGCACAAGCGTTCCTAATTAACTTACTACTGAAATTCTTGTAATATATATATGATCGCACTGAGGACCCCCAGGTTTCCTGACAAGCACCATAACAATACATAACTCTTATTTCTGTTTTGTTACAATTCATTAATTACAGTATTTAACATTCCTACTTCAGTTAGATCAAGTTATCTTCCAACCGTCAAGATTGTTTTCGGATAACTATGAATGCTATTAAGCTATACTACTTAGTCGTTAAGTAATTAACTAACTGTATTAAACAAACGATTTACTACTTTTGAACAAAACGCAATTAAAAGTTGCATTTCTGTGCGAAAATTCATCTCAATGTGCTAATCTGTTTACATGTCTGAAATAGTGATTAATGCTTTTCGGGTTTTATTGTTAAGACTTTGTTGTTTGACATAATAGGGTAGAACTAAAAGGATTTTATGGTTCTCTCACTGTTTATTCTTCATGTAAAATACTTTTAAAGTTGGCTATTTTTACTGATAAACAATCTTAAAAATAACATTTTAAGTGAGATTTCGTACATTTTTGTTATTAACATCTATCTAATGTGATCGTCTAAGTCTTGATTGTTTGAAATGAGAGTGATCGACAAGTTGGATATCCTTCGAAACCCATAGCATTTAGTCATATTCATGTTTCTATTAGAATTTTGTGTGTAAACATTTCATTTTATAATAGAAAAAGACCTATTCTCCTATCCAATAGTCTACAGTTCGGTCTCATGAACAGCCTCCAATCAGCTATATTACATCATTGTATGTCATTTATCAATAGGGATTCTGTTTACTTATTTCAGAAACTGGAAATATGTTGATCAAATCACAAAATCTCAATTCATTACAAAACTTGATTAAGTGATAAGCTTGACATCAATGATATCAAAAAAGCTAACTGTACAATAAATTACAGTGTGAAATGGCATTTACAAGAGCATGTTAGCTAGCAATAGTTAACTTGTTAAATTTATTTCATTAAAAATAAATGTAGACAATTCACTTACTGTGAAATTATTTGCACCATACTGTTGACATTCATTAAATGCCTCTTGTGTAATAAAAAGGAATTTACTGTTAGACGCAATCTCTGCATTACAGTTCTTTAGTTGAATAGTGTTTACTCTTGCACCACCCTTTAATGCATAACCCAAATCGTAACAATCAAGTACTTTAATTGATGAAACATTGTAAGAAAAAAATTTGGAAAAATTCAGTAGTTTATCAACGGTTAATAATAATAGTTGAACAAGCCATACAGGTCGAGTGACCTGTGGTTACTCATTATGGTCATGGATATATATACACATAAACAAATTTTGTAGGCTTAAAATAGCTTCCAACGCTAATCGTTAATATAAATAAACATTCACAAATGCTTTTGATGATATTGTGTTCTCTAAACTATGTAGTTTAATTACGAAGATTTGACTGTCATTTTGGATATGATCTTAGGCTACTTGTTCGATCTTTATACTAGGAAATAAATTTAACTTCCTGGCTTTAAATGTTTATCTAACTAAGGTCGGTTCGTCGTGTAAACAATCGGATTCCCTTCGAAGTCTTTTTTTCAATTCATTTGTTTAATCAATATTGGCGGTCTACTTTAACATCTGGGCTACCTGTTCCTACCATCTAGATATTTTGTTTGTTTTAATACATCAATATGGCTATTAATTGCATAACCAATTCAGGTTCGTTTCTGAGAAATGTACAACCCTTCGTTCTATATGTTACATAAGGCCCAACCAGAAATATCGTGGTTGCTGGCAATATGCATCGAAAAGAATATACGTTATTCAGATATCGATTGACTGAACTGCTAACTTCTAACTGACGATCACTCAATATTTATCGTCAGGATAGACCAAGAAGTAAGAAACGGTTTAGCCTTATTTACATGAAGTAAATCTGACAGCATCTTCTAACTAAAAAAATTGGAATCTTGACCCTATGATATCACTAGATTATCTTTGAACAGAAACATTTCAATGGTATTTTTAAAGATTATTTTAATCAAACTAGATATTATGATGTTAATTAATAATTAGCCTAATTCAATTTCAACTTTTAAATTCATTAATTACTTTGATTTTATTTAGAAATAAACGTAGAATCGTTTAGGCTTTTTACTAACGCTTAGTCGATGGGATTCGATCTGCACTAAGAAGGACCTAACATACATGACACTGATCACAACCCAGTGATCAATCAATTGTTTTCACTAATTTATTAGTTAACACACTTTAATCAGTTCAGAATAAGAAAATTGTAAGATTAAATAACAAAAGAATGAAAGCCAAATATCATATGCATAATAAATTGCTTCGACTGTGAAAAACATCAAATCAGACTAAGTAGTTGCCTTTTTTTTCATCTTCATTTGTATGAATATCAACTAATCATTAATAAGTAAAGACGACTGACGATAAACGTTCGATTGTGAAAAAGTGAAAATCTTGAATAAGTCAGCTAAATGGGTACTAGAGAATTTCTTGAACCTTACCATTCAAGTTCAGTCAGTCAGCTACAACTTAGGATCAGGCACACACATGCATCGGTTCAAGTTGCCATACCTCATTAACACAACAACATGAACACCGGATTCATAAAAGTAGTTAATTCGGTGGTGGTAATATATAAAGAAAGATTGTATATAAGGATATACAGTACAGGAAGAAAGAATTAGTTCGTAGAAAGAAAGATATGAAGCAATTTTAATCTCTTAGTTTAAGGGAAGACAAGGAGTGTATACACCGACGCCGTTGTGATCGATTCCGAGCCATGTCACCAAAATTCTCCAACCATTGGTTACGATAGTCACGCGCACCCCAACCAAGTAGTCAACATCTACTAACATGGCCCAGACTAGAAGTTAGTAACTTCAAGCAATGATGCCACGTTTTGGTTTGGCCGCCCCTAACCTTCCAACCATCTCCAACACCGGTTAGCATTGCACGTCGTGGTAATCGGTGTTCAAGCATACGTAACACATGACCGAAGCATCTCAGGCGACGAAGATTCACAACCTCATCAACTGGTTTACCATCATTCCCTAATACGCTGCGTTTAACTTCATTATTACTTACCCGGTGATCCCAGCAGACGCCAGAAATATTTCTAAGGCATCTGTGGTCAAATACTAGTAGCTTACGAATGTCTTCTACTCTTAGTGGCCATGTTTCGCAGCCGTAAATTTAAACAGAACGGACTGCTGCGCACTATACTGGTTTCTTAATTGACAGACGGATATCTCGCCTTCGCCATAGGTGACGTAAGTTGGCAAAGGCCAAACGAGCTTTTCAAATCCGTGCTAAGATTTCGTCAGACACCAACCCATTAGGGCTGATCAAATTTCCAAGATAAGTGAAGTTGTCGACGCGTTCGACTACTTCACTCCCTATCCTTAGTTCAGGTGTTGACGCAGACCAACTTAACTTGTCAACTAATCAGGAAAAAAATATAATCAACTGTAAGGCCATGAGTTACATTCAGAGGAAACACAACCAAAGTAAACGTTCAGATAATGAAAAGGAAAGTGTTGAAAACAATTAATCGTGTTCAAGATCGACTGAACTAGCTGTTAGTCAATCGAAGAAAAATTCACAAAGCTCACTTTTCTCTTTAGTTTTGCTGATGATATTGTCTAGAAATACAATGAAAGCTATACGGTTAAAGCAAGTAGGTTTGAGAACACAATTTCAACAAAATCGTCCTACTAAGCAACAAACGTTCCCCACCATATAATTAACACAACTACATTAATATATAAACATTTAAATTTATCTAAAAAATCGGACAATTCTAAAGAATTAAGGTACGTGATGTTAGTTATTCACCCATACATCTCAAAAAAAGACAATGAGTGTATTTGAAAGGTACAGACAAATTAAGTTATTGATTGTAATGATAAAAGCATGAAAACTTACTATTAAGTTGTGGTCGTGATTTTTGTCCTAACAGTTTAACACAAAGTGGTTCTAGTTGATTTTCATATTTAACCATAAATTCATCTTCGAAATCACCAACATTATCTGGGCAAAATTGTACTAGAAATACAGCTGCCATTCCCGGTGCAATTATACTACTACCTGGTCGTGGAAATTTACCTGTTGATTTTTCGAAAACAAACAAATACGATTATTTAAACGCCATGGCAAACTAGACAACAAGGTAGTGGTCATCTTTAGGCAATCAACAAATGGAAATATCTGAGTTGTATAGAAGGTCAATGACTATCTGAATAACTTAGTTATGATATGTCCGACTGTACCAACTACCAGAATACTTAGATCCATAGCTAACTGTTGATCATCTACAATCAACATACAAACTATTACATTCAACTTGCAAAATACATTTATAATTCTCATCTATGTTATATTCTTCCACATACTAAGTGACATTTTGACAAAGTAGTAAATTCACCAAACTTCAGGAGACGAATAGCTCTAGGCTCTGAAAATGATTAAGCTAAATCAAATTTTATATAGCATGTTATTCTTGAAAGAGTGATTGGTCAACAAAACTCATATCCTTTTCCCCACTAATCCTTTTTATTAATTAAGTAACGGATAATGATTTTTTATCTTTATCGAAGATTTTCATTGTGTAATATCATGTTGATAGATTCACTTGCACAATGTTAACAATAAGTATTATAGTTGATATCTAGTCATGTATGAACATAGGTTATTCTGCATATTTGTTTCTTTCTTCACTACTCACAAAAAACTTAACTAGTGTTCAGGTAAAATTTAATTAAAATGTTTAAGACTATTTGTTTAGTATTTTGGCAGGAAATCGTAACTACTTACTAAAAACTGAAAAAAAGACTGAATTTAGGTTAATTCTGCTTAGCATTAAAAATGACTTCATTTTAATTTAATCTAATTGACAAATATAACTGTTTTTAGGAATTATATGGATTATGTTCCAGATGAAAGATTCAGTAGACGCCTAGATCAACAGGAAGGCGTCCGTAAGGATCGGTTGTGTACAGACAAAATCGCCACACTACGGATCATCGTTGAACAGTCAATTGAATGGAACTCATCACTATACATCAACTTCCTTGACAATGAAAGAGCATTTGGCAGTGTGGATAGGAGAACATTATGGGACATTCTTCAACGCCATGGTGTGCGTGAGATCGTTAATATTATATGGAATTCGTACGATGGACTACAGTGTAAAGTCGTGCATGGAGGACAGCTCACAGATGAATTCCAAGTGAGCATCGGAGTTAGAAAAGTAGCTTGCCTTCCCCGTTTTCTTTCTTCTGGTGGCTGATTGGATTATGAAAACATCCACATATGATGGGAGCTAATAAGTACAATCGACAGCTTGCATACAACTAGACGATTCGGATTTCGCATATGACCTAGCCCTTCTATCCTATACACACCAATAAATGCAGGCCAAGACAACCAGTGTAGCAGAAGCCTCTGCTTCAGTGCCCGTTGGTTGGATACCATTAGCAACAGCCTACTGTGAGATAGAACAAATCAGCTTCCAGCTCTAGAGGAAATGGAGGAAAGAAGTTAGATGTGAATCGGACATATGTTGAGGAAATTATCAAACCCCACCATAAAGCAAGTGCTAACTTGGAATCCTGAAGGGGAACGGAAAAGAAGACCAAAGAGCACAATGCGCCGGGTAGCAGGTGTACGTAAGTAGGTATTGGATTATGTTAACTAATAACATGGCAAAACATGCTATGTATTATTACTCGTTAAAATATATTTTATAAGAAATTTAAAAATGCCCATAGATTGTTTAAATATCATCAACGCTTCTTTTAAGTAAAAGTATATTCGTACACCTTTCGGCAGATTCAGTTTGATATTATAAATGACTGTGAATGCCAAGTCCTATAGTGTATAGTCATCAGTAGATCACAGTGATCTCTAAACGGAAATTATTTCCTGCTATGAAAACACCGTTACATTTCATAAAATGCTTGTATGAGAAACAACAGCTATGTCATACAAGTTGACTAACAGTCAAACTTTAAGTAATACATAAAATAATTCATTTTCATTTAGTACATACTTACCCTCATTAATTGAAAAATATGTTGTTTTTGGTGGAAGAATTCGAATTGGTCGACTACTGTCAGAAATATTGCGTATTTTAACAATAGCCTGTATTACAATCGATAAATTAATAGTTACACAAAATATTACCTCATACATATTTCCCGTTAGATAAGACTTAAAAATAATTGATTCGGGTTCAGCTTGGAATAACGATCTATTTTCTTTTGTTCTTTTCCCAAATGGAATTAGTTGTCTTGTAGGAGGTATTAAATTTATATCTGATATTATCTGTAAAACAAATTCTTGTTTTAACTTCACATTGTTTTACACTGGTAATAATATTGTAGTGAAAATAAAGCGGCCCAATGATTGGATAAAAAGTCGTATATTTCACTTCGACTTGACGTTTATGTAGAAATTACAGATATACTGTCTAAATAATCGGATTGAAATAGACAGACTGGAGTTTGAGATAGTAACAGAATTGCTTTAAGTAAGAAACAATCATTTAAGGGGACGTTTTGTAGGTAAGAACAAAAGTATATTATAGGTTAGCTATTAGGGTCATAATTAATAAAATCACAATTGGGAAAATGTATGAACTTTAATGAACTTCTAACTAAATCTTCATGCAAAAGATGCAGCATCAAAGTTTTCTATTACTTTATCATATTAAAAGCTTCAGTAAGTGGAATTTATGTGAATGATACAGTGAGCGGTATGATACTTGAGTAGTTCAAACAGAAAAACGGAATATTGGGGTTGTGAAGATTGGTGAATGGTATGGAGATCACAAACTGACCTGAGTAAAAAATACCGCTGAGAACTAGGAAAAAATGGACAAACATTCCATCCTTGAATGGGCTCTCGAACATCTCGCATTTACCCCTCCCCACAGGGCATAGAAGCGAAGACCTTCGGTCTTGACGGGAGCGCCTAACTTCTAAACAACTAACCTAGCGTCCCATGGTATACATATCTAACTTCGGTGGGTACCTTCCTCATACTCGATACCGTTGAGCTCACTACTCATGGCTTCTCAATAGGACTTTGAGATTTCCCCTCGAAGCTAGTCACTGGTGAGCATATAATAATTATCAATATGGGGTTGTGGAAATTGTTTAAATGTTACTGAAAGCACAAAACGACCTAAACTATAGAGATTTAATATTAAATGGAAAATGGTGATGAAAAAATTGTAAAGAACCTTTACAATTTTATCATCATTTGAAAAAATGAGTTAAAGTGACAATCTCCAAGTTGGTCAACTTGAATAAATCTAGTTTTAGGTAGTAGTGACTAGACGCTGCTTTAACACATAGGACATGACAACTATAGTAAATTAAAGATTACTAGTGACTAAGCCCATTCCAAACATTTCAAGACCATATTGAATAAAAACATACAGAACAGCGAATGGAGATCATAGTACTAAAAATCAAGGTACTTCTATAATGATAAAAATATCTAATGGTTTGTAAATAACGAAATATATATTATACATTAAAGTAAGTATTCATTAACTTAAACTGCCTCTGACATTACCAGATTTTGCATCAAACATAATTCAACAACCTAAAAATTAATTTAATGGGACTACAAAAATGTGTAGTGACACCAAAACGATATACATAATTACTCAGTTTTAGAAAGTATATAACTTACATCACCATTTTTTAAGTAACTCTTAGGATTAAAGTTTTTAAGTTGATCGGTTTTTCCTCTAGATTTTACGGTTGATTTGATTGCTGGTAAAATATCAACATTCTCAGCGTCTTCGTAATTTTTAGAACTTTTTACAACTGGAAAACCTGCACAACGTTGACAGAAACAATAAACATATCAAATAGAATGGTGTCGATCACATCCTTTTGTAAATTTTATACATCTGAAGTAAAAATTCTATAAATACAGTACAAAACCTATGAATATGATATTGTTAAAGTAATTGTCAATTTGATTTTAATCTTCTACCTGAAATTAAATATGTTATTTCATTCTTGATAGTGCTGTATTTAAACAACGTGGAATAGTTAATCTTATTTTTGCTCTTTCAAACAGACAAGCAGTATCCTAGCTGACTTCTAAAACATTTTGTGAAAAATAAATGCTATAACCAAAATAACATCAATAGTCATTTAATGCTTGGATAGTAGTCAGATATCACGTGATACAAATTTTGTGTACTGAAGCCTTCAGGAAAATACCTAAATTTTGGTATACAGACAAGATATTAGACAGCAATCCTTCATTATCTTAAGTTAACTTTTTTCGTTAGCGTGTATATAACCCACTTAATAATGAAATGAATGTAGATGTGAATAAAAGTGGTTTTTGTAATGGTAAAATTATTTATTTATGATTGATTGATGTTAGACACTATTGAGTGATTGAATTTCAAATATTTAACATCCAGTATTACGTTATGAAACTTAGCATCCCAAACACTTATAATCTGACTTTGTCAGTCAGTGCAAAATTAAAAGCCAAATATAAGGACTTTCAGAATTTATTACTTCCCATAATCTTCAAAACTTGAGCGACCAGATTACAAACTATGAACTGATTAAGATGAAAACAGACGTATGACCATTTAACTGACGAATAAGTAGAGAAAATCGTACATTCTTCAGTGGTTAGTTTTAACGTCCAGGACCACATGAAATAAGGCTATTATAAACATAAAGCCATATGCGTTCAAAGCTTTGATTAAGTTGGGCATATTGTTAATACCGTAACATTTCATTCATATGACAGACACCTTAACTCGATTTGTGCCTAGTGTCACGTTTGATTCCTACTGAAATATATATTCTACATTTAATTCCATATATGATATTTTGGCTATCCCTACTTGTACAATGGTGTCATTGAAGAGCCTGTAAGATTATAGATCAAGAGATAGACAACTATCCGGGTGAACGAAAATGGCTTGGGTAAAATCCATCCACTTAAGCCTGATTCAGATTCTATATAAAATGGACAAGCTGTGAAATACAAGCAAGTAGAAAGAGAACTTGTTAGGTAATAGATAACAATATACAATGTACAGGAAGGCATTCAGAAATGATAATAGTTGATTAATCTTCCCGGTTAATGTAAAGTATTTAATAGAATTACAATGATATGTTTATTTCATAAGCTTCTTATCTATCCAAAGGAAAATGGATTTGCATGCACACTTTTTAAATAACGTATTCATTATTACAGACTTATGCTACATCTAATAATGTCTTGGTACACCATAGTGTTTGTATTCATTAGTAAATGGTTTTTACATAAAAGACCATCCTATCTACCTTCCTGATAATATTTTCCTTACCGAACGTATAAGCAACGTTTATTTCATTTATTCAACATAATGTTTTAACTTCACAGCCTTCCTAACCTTCAAAATAATATGCGCCAATATGATTTCACTAAATACTAGCTTTATCTGCTATAACAACTACCAAGACCGAATGCTCTTACAAAATTTAGCAAGACAGTCTAAACTTAAGAATGAAATGTTATATGAAGAATAGTAGTGGTAATCTTACATTGTGAAAGAATGTTAGTCAAATGATGTGAAACACTGTTCATTATGCATTAGATTTCTGATTATGGTGTCCAGTCATGTGACTACTATTTCTTACTCTAAGGAAAACTATCAATTTTTATCCACCTTATTTTTTATTTTGGAGTGATTTAAATTAGTAGATCAATCAAACATTTTCAGAACACACAAAATATATATTATATTACTTTAAATAGTGATGGATCAGTAAATTGAGAAAAAGCTGACAAATTATCGAGTTTCTTGTCACATCAAATAGAAACATAGTAAAGTCGTTGACACGTGTAGACACTTAACATATCAAAATAGACAGAACTACTCATACATAAACCATCTTACCATGGCTTCTTGGTTTTCCATTAAAATAAATATCCTCCTTCGTCAAAAGGCCAAGGTCACCTAAAAATGAGTCTACGCCCAGTGAGAGAAAATCTTTTACAAACCATCCACTTCATCAAAGCTAAGCAAATTGCTTGGTACTGATCTTGGCGATTCGTTTTCTAAGTTATGAAATAAAGGTTTACTCAAACTATAATCCCTAATTCGCGATTCCGCAGTGTTCACCTCATCAACAACACCTTTATGCCTTTCCAAAACCTAAAAATATTGAGTGTTTATAAGATTCCCCACCTTATCAATTTCTTTTATATACAATGAATGTTTCACATCATCACTGTCTTTCGCAGCCTGCAAGTATGAAATTATATCATCATCTAAGGCCGAAAATTGATACAAATTTTTGAATATCTTTGATAGCTGATATGAGATGACTTGTGAACGGTTTTTAGAGGGCTTCTGCAGTAAACAAACAAGATTTTGCTCAGTCATGTTGCTAAAGCAACGTCCAGAAATTATCACATGTATGACTAGTATTAGACCATGAAGTTACAATAAAAATTTCATTGATAATTTATTTAGGCTAAATAAGGAATGACCATTCGGACTGCCGAGGGTCTGAAAAATACAAAAGCAAATAAAACAAGGGAAATGAAAGCAAAGAAATTTGTGTGCTAGTTTATTATTAAATCAGTAATCATATAAAATATAGTTTAGAACAGACACGAATCATAAAACTGGAAATAGTATGTGAAAGATTTGAAAGCACGAGATGCTCAACTCAATTGCATCTCTGTAATTTCCTTAATAATAAATTCTTCAATTGGAGGTACATGTAACCATTCGGATCTAACCAGATAGTACATTAAGCACTTTTTGAACGTGCATAGCAGTTCATAAATTAATTTAGAAACAGGAAGACAGACATTATTAACATAAATTCTGTGATTAGAATAAGTTCCTATACTTAATTAGTACGACGCGATGAGAACAACAAACGAAACCGAAATGACATAGTATTAATTATATACAACAGAGTCAAAACCTTGAAAGTTTGGTTTGAAAAGACAGAGTGGAGATGTTTGAACAAGGTAAAACCGGAATTCAAGATCAAGAGACAGATAATTAGTGAATGGATCTGAGCCATTTCAAATAATTCTCATATATATCGCCCAAAGCCTTCAACCAATGACCGCGGCTGTCACGAAAACCCCAACTAGACAGTCTGCACCCAACTACGTCGTGCAGTTCACCAGTCAGTGACCTAATGATTGATGCAACGTTTCTTTTGGATGCCCCTAGCTTACCTCCAAAGTACTTTTAAACAGATGTCTTTCATCAAAGTAGGTGGTCAAGCGCACATCGCCCTCATCAGTCTATTTTCTATATTTGCCTGTTATCTTATGCCTGGTCTCAACATTGTTCAAGGAAATATTTCTAAGACATCCTTGATCGAAAACCGGACTTTCGTGCCCGTTTTCAACCTTTGCAGACTGTGTTTTACAGCCAGAGATTGATGTAGAATGATCTACTGTGAAGTATGCACGACTTCTAATCAGTGAACGAAAATCTCACCTATGCCACATGTGACGCACATTAAGCAATACAAATTGATCTTTTTGGGTCTATAAAGCTATTTTGTCAGGCACAAACCCAACAGGATTAAAACATTTAAGGAAAATAGAGTAGTTGACTCAAGTAGGCGCTTCACGTTTTATCTTAAGTTGAAGTGTCAAAACAGACATGTCTTGCAGTAACATTTTGCGTTTGGAGGGATAGAAACGCACAATAAACATACTAGTATTGTTACGTTTTGTCAGCATCTTCACAGGGTGAAAATGTCATATGCGTATTCTGAATAATTCAATGAACACTCTGAGTGAAGAACAGTATCTGAAAAAAAACAAATGCAGAAGGTCTTATTTCTAGGACCCAAGGGACACATGTGATTCAATTTCCTAAATGTGAGTAACTGACAACAATTAATGGTGACTCAATTATCAGATTAAGACAGTCTGATAAGACAAAACTATAAAATTAGGAAATCGTGCAAAGCAGCGACAGTAAGGATATCCAGGAATGAAAAACACGAGAAAAGTAGTCAGTAGTCAGTGGCGAAGACAAAAGGTAAATTACCCAAATTAATCCTCATTATATGTGGCAATATATAGATCAGACCTTGTTTTGAATGATATTATGTATTCCAGTAAAAAGTCCTACTAAATAGCTACGCGGTTTGATTTCATACAATTTGGTCTCCTTTTTTGAACATTCCTAAAAGGTCATCTCTGATGATCAGTCCTATATGAGCCAAAAAGACTATGCATATTATAGCAAAAATCATCGTCTAGTATTTATTTATTTATTTGGACACATAAATATTAGTACAAGGAGTCGCTAGATACATCTATTATTGAGCAGTATCTTCTACTGGTTAAGCGCATTAATTTTAGTAATGGTCTCCCGTTCGCATTCTTACCAGATTCAATCACAGATATAGCTCTGAAACGCATGCTAAGCCGTATTCCAGAAGTCATATGTGCCAAACAATAACAACGAGGTCATTAGTTGTTGTCATTGATTTGTGCGAGGGCTATGATACTGCTCGGACGCCTAAACTGAAGCGAAAAGTTTTCTTAGAACGCCACGCCCTAGACCTTTGACCTAAACGTCCGATTTACATGGCAGTGGAGCAACGTCAGAATCTGTGGTCCTATGGCAGCCGGTGACCAACGACAGGTACTTAAGCCATTTGTTCCCTTAGGATATTGGAGCCAGTGTGCTCCATTGATTTAAAATCGGGGGCGAATATGCATATTTTCTTAATACCTAAAAAGAGGACTCGCTTGTTGAATTCCACACTCTAAGTCTGGCCTCCATTTATATAGTGAGTCGGAAAACTCTTTGATCCTTATTTAATACCTAGGTTGGAAACCTTATCGAAAATTTTACTTAGACCTATGAAAAGTAAAGTTAACAATCAGATGCATATCTGGGAATATCACTTCCAATCACTGTATTAAATACATAAAATTCATTAATACTCAATAAGGGAGGTAAACAACAACAGTAATAATTAAGCCGTAGATATAAGATAATCTGATTAACTAAATGTGCGATTAACAGCGTAACGTTAACTTTAAATGTTTTCTTTAACGTTCCTTAGCTCTAACTAAATAAATAAGCATTTAAACAACAAGCGGCAGAAATTATGCAGTAACGTGTATTGCATAAATCTCACTGTTTTGCAATATAAAATACATGCTTGTGAGTGAATAGAAATTTGTGCCACAATTTCAATCACTATGTTCGTTTACTTCAAAGTAACATTATCGAGCTTTGACCTAGTACATTCAGTCTCACACTCCTTCGGATATCTTGACTTTGTCGTTCTTGTTGTTGTTGTTATAAACGGTTCTTTCATAGTTCTGTCATGCCCTGGTGAGTGACGTGGGAAAAACCTACGATACTTTGTTTACAAAGAAAATATTATAGATATGGGTTCGTATATTAGTTCTTAATTGGTCATTATAAAGGCGTCTGTTGTCCAAAAAGCCTTGTTAGTATTAACGTCTTCGACCGTCTTTTTGAAATAACATGTCCAAGTGAAACCAAAAAATGTTGTGGTGGTAAATAAATCCTCGAAATAAATAGTTCTGTAAGTCTTCGACACTTCATTCTGACCACATTAGTTTCAATGGATATATCTAGCTTGGTCACACGTCAACACCAAACTACGTGTGGGTAAGCCATGCTACGCATCTCTTACAACCGTAAGCTAGCTTTGATTAAACACTTTCAGATATATTGAAAGCTTTTCGAATATATCTTTGAACCCTTTCGTTTTAACTTCTGATTTGACGGTATGGCACATTTCGATTATAAAGATGTTACTCACAAAGACGTTGTAAAACTCCGAATACCTGCGGCATCGTTAATGTCATGCATACTCACGGTTCAACAATAAATTTGTCCAAAACAACTCTGTGGTTGTGGATCTCAAATCTAGTCGGAACTAGATTAGAAGTGAGCAGCCTAAAATGGGTTGACTCAGAGTAAACCATCTGTTATTCATTTTCAAAGTTCTCAGTTATAAACAACAAATTATATATGTTGTAAATCACCAACGTAGGTGATCTATGTCGAATGATTGGAAGCCTACTCGAGTTAGACAGGAATTGTGTGACGAACGACCTAATGTCGAAGTCACACCTCGTGGTCAGCACCTTACGTGGACTACCCCATTGACGTATCAAGCTACAATAGACTCTTTGAAGACTGTACATCACAGAGGACGTTATTACAGAAATACATTAGTTTAACTAGGTACAAGCGAAAGCGAGACCAGTGCCGCATGGACCAGTCCATGGTGTAGGATTCACTGATGCGCTTCGGTTGTCCTTGACCTTGTCGATGATCGAATATTTGTTCGATATCCAATGACCAGACCGCAGGATGATTTGGCTAGGGTTCAGTGGAATTTCACTGGCCCTACAATCTATGTAATATGAAACTCATCTTTGTCATGTTTTTAGAACACGGCTACAACCCTTTTGCGACTGGTAATATAGATGTCCTGGATAGCTAGATACATGGACAAAGCAGCAAGATACTAGTTCTCAACTTGTATACTTTCTGATTAAGAAATGGAAATCGACTATGTTTTGGTGATTCATAAAATTGTGCTGAAGAATTTTTGCTCGTCGTCAATAAGAGGAATAGTGTATGAACAAACTATGTTACAAAGAGAAAGAAGAAGAATGTCTGTCATTATCTGCCTTATTCTTGGCAGTGACCTACATGGAGTTTCTCATCTGATATTCCTGAAACCTGATAAGATAGGAGGACTTGTGAATGTATACCATCTTTGAACTACTTTCCATGTTATGTTCAGGTATTTGGACTACCATCTGATCAGGTTGAACAGTTTTTCTATTATCGATAAATAAAACTTTGAAACAGTATAATTTAATTGTCCATATTTTTGGGCATTAGTGATACTTCTGTATTGCTGTCACATTGGTTGCATCCAGTAGCTTTCCTGCTTCTATCCCATGATTACCCATCAGAGTATGTATCATTAGCAACATTATGTTTTAAACTAAACCACGAAACCGTAAATACGGGTTCGTTTCCTAGTAGCATGTGCCCTCGTTCTATCAACACAAGAAACCGGTATTATGATGAGTGGGTCTTTATTTAGATGAACGGACAGAACAGCTGTAGTGCGACGTTACCTTTTTCAAACACAGAGATTTTTCAACATTCAACGTAAAATAATAAGAAGTATAATGTCTATACAAAATAAGGAAGTAAATTAATACTTGAGCTATAAAGTTTTGACATTATTAAGATGTTTGTTGCCAACTTTAAGCTAATCAACCTAGTTTTTCAGAAAAGCAAACTAAAAACACTATTCTTCTCTTCCTAAACATTCATAGATATTTGTTAAGTACAACCTGTATATATACATATATTCACTCTCTTTTTTCAATTATTTCCTGGATCTTACAGATCAGTTCATTTTAGCCGTGTTCCAAAGGATCTTGACAAAGTAGTGCAGAATATCTCAAATTCTTTTCAAAATATTGAAAATTAAACCACATGAGAAATATGAAT